TACCACTGAGTCACAACCAAGATGTTAAATTTACCTCAAGATGGCAAATTTTATGTTATATTTATTTTACATATAATGTGTATGTATGTTGCATGTAAGTTTTATTAATGTATTTTACATGTAACATATATTATTTGCATTTTATCACAGTTAAATTTTTTAAAAAGCAGAAGACCTTTTAGGAATGGGAGTTATTAGGATAGTATGGGGCAAGATTGTTTTCCTCCTATTTGTCAATATTGGGGAAAACACTTAATATAAAAACAATGCAATTTTTAAAACCCTTTCAAAAGTCTAGCTTTTTCTATTACCTCTCTGTGTCCTCTTCTAGATCCTCAGTTTCTCTTGTCCAAAGCAAAATGTTATCATTTTTATTATGGTCAGTTTCTTGTTCTTCTAAATGCTTTTGATCTAAAAACAATTCAAAGAATTAGCTTTATTAGAATGAAAACATTAAGAAAGCCTGCCTTAAAATGGAGTATAGAAATTAAGGCCTATCAGTGGTTCCTTAAGTATGGACTAGCTCCTCTCTTCCCATTAGAGCAGGAGGACAGGTGGCAGTCTATAGGACACCTGTATTCACAACAGCTGCATCTGGGGTCTTGGGAGCTCTTTGGTGCCAGGTGAAGCTTTAGGAAATCTAGCCTGTGCCAAGGTTCAGAGATGGATAAGAACAAGCAGAGGAAAGAAAGGTCACACAAAAGATAAGGCAAGCAGCCCTGAGAACAAACTGAATAAATTTACTTCTTAGAAATGTTTCTAGGTTGGAGCCCCAGGAAGGAATGTGGGTGGGGAAGAAACCCTCTAATGTATGATAAGCATTTTACATATGCTATCTCATTTCATTTGGCCACCAGTCCCATAAAGGGAAGAGGACTAACATTTGCTAAATATTTTATGGATGTACCATGCACTGTTTGTGGAGCTATTATGTACATCATAATATAGGAATTATTATCCCCATTTTACAGATAAAGACAACTGAGGCTCAGATATTAAACAGTTGGTCATATAACTGACTTAGGACAGTAGCACATATTCATAATTCCAACTACTCAGGAGGCAGAGGAAGGAAGAGCACAAGTTGGAGACCAGCTTCAGCAAATTAGCAAGGCCCTAATTTAGCAAGAAACTGTCTTAAAAGATAAAAATAAATAAATAAATAGGGAGATGTAGCTCAGAAGTAGAGAACCTTTAGGTTCAGTCCCTAACACCGCAAAAGCAAAAACTAGTAGAGTCAGAATTGAGGTAGAGTTGTGACTGACCTCAGGGTCACACTTCCCCATATGTACTACTCTGTTGCCAAGGACAACATTAAACCTAGAACCTGATGAAAAAAATCTAAGAGTATATGCTCACCATTTGCAGTGATGCCCAGATCATGTACTGTGTTCTCATGCAACACTGTGGATGAATTCTGCTGCTGCTTCAGGTGCTCTGTCACATACAAAAGCAAAAGACAACTTATTCCTCCTTTGAATGACTCTAGGGCAGTGGTTCTCAAAGGGTGGTCCTCAGACCAGCAGCTCTGACTTAACCCAGGAACTTGATAGAAATGCAAATTCTTGGGCCTTATCCTAGACCTACTAAATCTAAAACTCTGGCAGTATGGTCCAGCAATCTGTGTATTAACAAGACCTTCAAGATGCCTGATAAAGTTGGAGAACTACTGCTTATGGACATTCCTAATTTGAAGGAAATTTTTCAAGTAAGACAAAAAAAGATGATTATGATGATGCAGAAGATAGGTAATACTTTGCCGTACCCTATGTACTCAGGATTAATGTTCACACAATCTTTTTTGTGTGTATGTATGGTGCTGGGGATTGAAGCCAGGGCCTTGTGCATGTGAGGCTAATGTTCACAATCTTTACAACAACCCTATGCAACTGACTGCATTATTGTTAATTGTGTTTAGTGAATGAGGAAATTAGGGTTAAGAAACTTGCCTAAAACCTAAGAAAGGTTAAAGAACTTGCCTAAAATCACACAGATAATCAGTGGGAGGATTGAGATTTGAATCCAGGCAGTTCTAACTGTAAGGTTTATGCTCCTAATCTCTATATTATACTCTGTAAAAAAAATTTTATTACAACATCAGAATAATTCAAATGTTTCCTCATCTCTACTGGCCAATGGAAAGACAAGAGGCAGAGAATATTCATTATTTCCATTTCCTAAACAAATACTTACTAAAGACAAGAATCTGCTAAAATCAGTGGCTGCTCTGCATTTATTATGTGCTCAGTCTCCTCTAAGTACTCTCCAGTGCAGAGCAAAAAGTCAGTTGCAGGGAGCACAGGCAGACCACCCTGAGCTTTCTGGTCTTGTTCTGGGAAGGTACAAGTTGGCTCCCTTCCTGCTGAGTAGGAAAGAGGTCCTACCTCACAGAGCTTGGCATCAAGGGGCTCTATAAGATCATTTTATATAGTTTGAAATTAAAAATCCATTTTAATCCTGATTAGTCCCTTGTTGATCTTAAATGATTACCTATATCTTAGGGTTCTAAAATTTCCCCTGTAGGTTCTTGTCAGGAATCTAGAGATTTGAATGTGGGTCCTCCAAAAGAGTAACAGCAGGTCATTCCCCAGAAATCTCTTTAGGGGAAACAATACACATACAATAGCCAGATGAGTAAACCCATTATTATCAGGACAAACTACTCAAAAACCCTCTACTTGTTTATTTGCATAAGGCATCCAGGACCTCCTAGAGGGAGAAGGCAGAAGCCCACTGGTGAACTTTTCCCCCTTGATTTATCATTAGGGAGTTCTTCAGTTGAGTAGGTACCTCCCATTTCTTCAAGGCCTAATAGGTCTAGTGTGGGGGAGGGTGAGTGCACAAATCCAAAATCTAATTTCCTTGAGGAAGAATGAGTGTGGATTGGTGACTCAGGCTCTGATAAAAGTTCCAAGGGAAAAAAGTTCCAGTTTTTTTCTAAAACTGTAATGCTTTAGACAGAAGCATTAGAATCACGTAGTAAGGCTGGGAAGAGTCACTTCTTCATATGGATATCTTTACGCAGTCCTGTAAGCGATGAACACAGGGTCAGTACAAAGAGGTCTGGCCTCCTTCAGACAATTTTGGGTATTGGGGAAGGACTAAGAGAGAAAAAGGACAGGAATTTCATGTTTGGGTGATCTCAAAAGACTGCTTGCAGTCTGAGTTTATGGAAGGCTTCTTACTACTTGAATAGAAAACTCAATTCTTTTATTTTATAAACATTTATTGAGTTCTTTTTATATACCAGGCTCTGTTCTAGACTCAGGGGATCAAACAACTAACAAAAGAGACAATTCCTTGAGGGGGGGAGAGAGACAAAATTAAAAAAGGATCCTCTGCTCTTTGTATTTCTGGAAAATTACTGAGCCATTCAAAATGTAGACATCACCTACAAACCTGGCCCAGATAATTGCCATAAGTGAAACGACTGTGCTGGGGTATGTACCATGAGACCAGAACCCAGGAGGAAACCTGGGAACACAGCTGCTACAATGGAGAAAGTGAAAGAGGGTTCACATGTGGTAACTACAGTAGAAGGACAGCAGGATCCACAGGCAAGTATTGATTACAGTCAAACTTGCAAGTACCTATTTAAGCCTACTTTGTATTTCTAAAACATTACGCCATTGCTAAGGAACAAATGATACTAAAAATCTACTTAAGCAGTACACATGTGGGATAACCTCCAATCTCAACAGTTCTGTTATTTTAAGAGCAACTACAGAGGAAGAATTTGCCGAGATTAACTAGAGAGTCTCAGAGGTAGAAAGTAGAGAGGTAGGGTTATGGGCCTAAGAGCCTGACCCATAAAAGCCTGTGACCTATATGACCCTGTGGCACTGAAGGCAAGGTTAAGTGAGGCAACAAAAGGCTATAGGGTTGGGGGTATGCTCAGTGGTATAGCACTTGCCCAGCATGTGCAAGGCCCTGGGTTTAATCCCCAGTACTGCAAAAATAAAATAAAAAAGAAAAGGGCCTGTAACTACGGGAAAAGAAACCAAGCAAGGAAGGTTTTAGAAGCTGACTGGATCCACTTAAACATGTCTAAGAACAGGGGCTGAGGGTTATAAGGAGACTAGAAGGCAGCTGGTCCTAGAGTCAGACCAATAAGCTCTCACTTCTTATCAGACTCAAAACCTCAGAGACTCTGAAAACCAACTAGTGTCCAGGAAGTTCTCTACAAGCTCCATAGCAAAAATAGGACCATCAAAAAAACAATTAAACTCTCACAAATCTGATGAGAGGCATCCCCTAAGGGCAAGGGGATGGTCCATCAAGCTGCTGGGGAAGCAGACTACCTGCCTGCAAATTTTTCGATAACCTTGCATCATTTCTTCACATCAACCCAAATGCAAATAAAATTGAATTGGTACTACTCAGTCTCTGCCTGAAATGGAAAATTCTAGTCTCATTAAATTTTATGACACTGACTCTTAGGAAAGGGATTTACCCACAATTTCAATACTTTGAATGCCTCCTACTCAGGCCTCCAAGGAATGGCTGGTTTGGTTTAAAAAGAAGATAAGAGTTTCTTTAATAAAAGAAATTTATCATCATAAATCATTTTAATATTTTTATTTCCCCTCACAATCATCACCATTACCTTTAAGAAACAAAATGTAACAGATTCAGGCCAATATCCCAGCTAAGTTGTTGTGGTCCCTTTTATTGGAAAGCTGTCCCTTTCTGATTTTATCATTCAACCAGAACTTTGTAGGCCCTTTCTATTAGTGCTCACATCTGAGATAAGGAAACCATGCTGTGGTCAGTGACAATAGCTGACAAGACCAAGTGTATTTTGTATTAAATGTTCCTGGTATGGTTTAGGTCTGGAATGTCCCCCACAATCTTCTGTGTTAAAGGTTTCATTCCCAGTGCAGTACTGTTTAGGGAGAGATTTGGGAAAATGATTGGATCATGAGGGTTCTGACTTATTATTAGTAGGTCACTAGGGACATGTCCTTGGGGACTTTATCTTGTCTCTAGTCCCTTCTTCTGTCTTTCTCTCCGCTTCCCGGTTGCCTCAAACTGAGCAGCTTTCCCCTACCACACCTTTTCACCATGATATTCTGTCTCACCTCAGGCCCAGAGTAATGTAATTGGTCAATCATGAAATGAAACCATGAGCCAAAATAAACCTTTCCTCTTCCGAGTTGTTTGTGTCATATACTTTGGTCACAATGATGAAAAGCTGGCTAACAGTCTCTTACCAATTTCGTCAAGCAGCTCCTGAGATGGTGGTGGTAGCTCATCAATGTGATGCTGTGAAATGGCTTCCATTAGTTCTTTAAAAAGACAAAGGAAGAAATGACTTAACACTTTCCTGAATCTGAAGTGGACTTTTCCAAGCCCCCTCATGAATTTGACTGAGGATTTCCAATGATGAAATAAATAAAGGGTGAAAGAAAATCTTTTATATAACAGTCCTAATAGATACCTCCTTCTCTTCTGTCCTAATAGATACCTCCTTCTCTTCTGTCCTAATAGATACCTCCTTCTCTTAAATAATTTTCTTAGTAGAGACCTCTCTTATTCTATCCCACTTACCTCAGTATTGGTTGGCCTGTGCCCCTTCCTTTGCTAAGGATATTTGAAGTAGGTTCTTACTAAGAGGCTGGGGGATCCAATCTGGATCAGAATTGCTTAAGGAATATAGAGGTTATAGACCAGCCAAAATGGACAAAACACAAAGTAGAAGGCCTTTGTCTATAAATTTTCAGGCCAGGTGATATAAAAGCAACTGTACTTCAGGTCTTGCCCCAAGAGCTCAATTATAATAACAACCCCTCAATATAAGACAAAATCCATTCCCGGAGGGAAAATTTCAAGTCTTTGTTCCAACGACTTAAGATATTAAAATTAATGTAATGAAAGCAATATGCCTCAAGAGTTGTAAAAACATCAGATGCTTTGGGCTGGGGATGTAACTCAGTTGTAGGGTACTTGTCTAGCATATGTGAGGCATGGGTTCAACTTCCAATACCCCACCATCCACCAAAAAAAAATCCTTAACAGCATCAGATTCTTTTGATTAAAAAACTGTCTTCTAAGAATCTGTCCTGAGAAAAGGATCAGAAGTATAGTTAAAGATTTATATACACAGAGCAAAAAGTTGGAAAGCAACATAAATCTTTGACATTAGGAAAGAGTTAAATAACACTGACTATTAAATAGAATGGACTTTAAATAGAATAGATTATTATGTAGTTATTTTATATATATATATATATATATGAATAGTTTTTAATGACAAGGGAAAATACTCAAAATGCAGTTATTCCTCAGTATCTATAAGGGACTGATTCTAGGATCTCTTCTACCTGTGGGTATCAAAATTCATGGACACTTAAGTCTCTTACATAAAATGGTACAGTATTTGCATATAATCTTTGTATATATCCTCTCATATACTTTAAATCATATCTAGATTACTTACTTAATATGTTGTAAATGCTATGTAAATAGTCATTTTACTGTATTGTTAAGGGAATAAGAACAGAAAAAGAGCATATACATGTTCAGAACAATTTTCTTCAAATATTTTTGACTTGCTGTTGGTTAAATTTGTGGATGTGGTACTCACAGAGAAGGAGGTTAAGTATATATCATCAAGGAAAAAAAGCAGTCTAGAACTGATATGTAACTATGCTATTTTTAATATATTTCTAAATCTGTGAGAAATATATATACTAAAATTTTATACATGAAATTTAAAAATTACAGTTATATATTTATTTTATTTTTTAAGCTTTGCTTTATTCTCCAAGTTTTCTATAACAAATCTGTTTCACAATCGAAGGAAATAGCATTTTGTTTGAACCAAATATAGCTTCGATTTAAGTCTCCTTAAATTGGCTAACTATTATGAACTTCTACTTTGATATGACACACAGGTACCTTTAGGCAGGCTCCTTCTCTGGGTGGCTTGGGTTGATGTGTCAGATGTGGTAGCCATACTAGAAGAACCAACTACAGGACATGCAGACAATCTTTTCTACAAGTGAGATGTAAAAATAGTAACTGACACATGTGTTGAGTAAAAAAGTACATGCAGTTCAATCATTTCCACTTTTTAAAGAAATATTTTTTAGTTGTTGATCAACCTTTATTTATTTATTTATTTTTATGTGGTGTTGGGGATCAGCAGAATGCATTACAATTCTTATTACACATACAGAGCATAATTTTTCATATCTCTGTTTGTATAATTAAGTATGGTCCCACCAATTCATGTCTTCATACATGTACTTTGGATAATGATATCCATCACATTCTACCATCATTGCTAACCGCTTGCCCCTTCCCTTCCACTCCCACACCTCTGCCCTATCTAGAGTTCCTCTATTCCTCCCATGCTCCCCCTCCCTAACCCTCTAGGAGTCAGGCTCCTTAGAGAAAACATTTGGCATTTGTTTTTTTGGGGATTGGCTAACTTCACTTAGCATTATCTTCTCCAACTCCATCCATTTACCTGCAAATGCCATGATTTTATTCTCTTTTTTTGCTGAGTAATATTCCATTGTGTATATATGCCACATTTTTTAAATCCATTCATCTACTGAAGGGCATCTAGGTTGGTTCCATAGTTTAGCTATTGTGAATTGTGCTGCTATAAACATTGATGTGGCTGTATCCCTATAGTATGCTGTTTTTAAGTCCTTTGGGTATAGACTGAGGAGAGGAATAGCTGAGGCTGGGTCACATGGTGGTTCCATTCCCAGTTTTCCAAGGAATCTCCATACTGCTTTCCATATTGGCTGCACCAATTTGCAGTCCCACCAGCAATGTATGAGTGTGCCTTTTCCCCCACATCCTCGCCAACACTTATTATTGTTTGTCTTTATAATAGGTGCCATTCTGATAGTGAGATGATATCTTAGAGTAGTTTTGATTTGCATTTCTCTAATTGCTAGAGATGATAAACATTTTTTCATATATTTGTTGATTGATTGTATATCCTCTTCTGAGAAGTGTCCTTGGCCCATTTATTGATTGGGTTATTTGTGTGGTTTTTTGGTACTTAGCTTTTTTTTCTTTTTAAGAGACAGAGAGAGAGAGTTTTTTAATATTCTTTTTTTTTCAGTTTTCGGTGGACACAACATCTTTATTTTATTTTTATGTGGTGCTGAGGATCTAACCCAGGGCCTCACATGCACTAGGCGAGTGCTCTGCTGCTGAGCCACAACCCCAGCCCATTCATTTTTTTATCTAGTAAGTTAAACTCATTCAACAGACCTCTTCTGGAAGCCTTCTCATCCTTTCTGCCTCAGTACTTACCTCTGTGTTACATTAGGCCTCTCTTTCTCTCTAGACAATGAGCAACTCTGAGGAAAAGTATATGTCTTAGATGACTGGAAGAGGGTCTGACATGATGCCTGGCACTCAGAATCTATTTAGTCAACAGTCTGTTGAATAAAAGGGTAAATTCCTTACCATTTCCCAACTCCTATATTTATTTATTTAGCTGTACTAAGGATTGAACACAGGCCTTACACATTATAGGCAAGTGCTGTACTATTGAGCTATATGCCTATTCCTTTTTATTTTTGAGACAGAGTCTCACCAAGTCACTCAGGCTGGCCTCAAACTTGCAATTCTCTTGCCTGAGCCTCCCAAATAGCTGGGATTATAGATGTGCACCACTGTACTTGGTTCATTTCCTTAGATCTGAGTAAATGTTTTGTGAGCCTAATGCCCAAAGAAGATGACAATTAATTTTTTCATTGAGGGCCAAAGCAAATAATCAATCTGTCCATAGACGATACTATGTGTTAGTAAGCAGTATGAAGTTAAGAAATCTGTGGTTTTCTCAAAAAAAAATATACACGTAAAATATGAGCGCGAGACATGGGGCTGGGATTGTGGCTCATTGGTAGAGCACTTGCCTCATACATGTGAGGCACTGGATTTGATCCTCAGCACCACATAAAAACAAATAAACAAATTAAGGATATTGTATCTATTTACAACTAAACAATGTATATTAAAAAAACACTAGGGAGACAGAGAGGAGGAAAAAAGAGGATAAGATACAATTAAAAAAGGATAAGATACAATTAAAAAAGGATAAGATATCAAAAAAGGATAAGATACAATTAAGTGTTTTTCCTGCAGATTATCAGTTCAGGAGTTCAGAGAAGAGGAAAAGTAATCAATACTCTCAGGGAAGTAACCAATGGAGGCATCAAAGAGAAAGTAAATAAGCTTCCTACAATACAGATTTAGGCAAAGAGCCCCAGGGAAGCCTGGAGAAAACCAGCTTTTTTCTTGCTGTGTAATTAATTTGGAAAAATCTTGGTCCTTCATATCTCTGAGCCCCTTGGGCTGATCCTATAAGTGCATGATCCTGTGAGAGTATAAAGCAGAATTGGTAAACTTACCAGATTGATCAGTTTGGGAGCAGGAGTCTCAGAGGAAGTAAGGAGAGAATCCAGGCTCTTTGCTTTCTCTCGAATGGTTATAAATTTATCAGAAAAAATTCGAATAGATTCTTGGCTATTCCAGCAAGAGGTAGACCTTGTTTGATCCTGAAGTGTGATACTTTCTAGGCAGTCTTTATACCGACTGGCAGATGAAGAAATTGACCCTATTGGAGAAAAAAAGGTGGTTAGTGTCTGAATTCTTTACATTACAAATGAAACACTCAAAATTCTTTAACTATGCAGATTTCCCAAAGTTGCTAACAACTGAAATAATCACTAATCTGAGACCTAGCTCCTCAAATTATAAAAAATGAGAATATTTAAACCTGGCTATCAAAATAAAATAAAGGGACATTAGACCACAAATATACTGGAAATATGGACACTAAAGAAAATATATTTGATGCTGGCTGTATATGGTTGTAGGACTCAAGAACTATAGATATTTAAGCACTGTTTGTTTTAAATTGAAAACTCTATAGACAATCAAATTTCTACACTAAA